GGGGGGGGGGGGGTTTAGTCACTGGGCGCCATTGTCCTCTGCCCCCCTTGATTTGCAGTTCACATGTCCAGCAGATTTTTATAATGTGGGGCCAATGTCAGTACCAGTACACGAAGATCTTGTGTTAGCTGTAGAAGAATGAGCATTGATTTTGTTCTACCCCGACCCCCCCTCCATGGTCCAATGGTAACTATGTTCTTCGCTAAATTTTTAGAACTCTTAGTATTATGCTCAATTTTTTGATAAAGAGCCTTAGGGCTGCACCATTTAGGAGGTCAATGCATAACCAAGGGGTTGTACTCAACCCCCCCCCCCCCCATTGCCAGTTACTTATGGAACAAACCCCCCCTCACGCACAGGAGCAATGAGTATCAGTGTTAGTTTTGATGGGATCGAATAAATACCTTCCCTTTTAAAACGTTCACCTGTAAGAACTCTTTTCAAAAGTATTGGTGTAAGTGGCAAGGGGGAGAGTTTTCCTTTTCCTGGTGAGTTGGGATACTCCCCAGCCCCCGGGTCAACCCGGGCGAGGCGAAGCGTCGCAGCCGCTGAAACCATGGCCTCTGTTGTATTAAAAGGAATACATAACATCGGTTTCGGCGGCTAGGCCGTCTCACATCGCCAAGTAATACACTAGGGAGCATAGCTTCGGCTTCGACGGCTGCGCCGCCTCGCCTCGCCCTATAACTACGCCAACTCTACCGAAAACGGAGCGTTTTCTTGGATGATTATATAGATAGAGCGAGGCGAGGCGGCGCAGCTGCCGAAGCCGAAGCTATGTTCCCTATTGTATTTTTTTTTAATATAATAGGGGACATAGCTTCGACTTCGGCGGATGGGCCTTTTCACCTCGGGTCTGTTACTACGGCAAACCTACCGAAGCTGAAGCATTATCTCGCCGAAGCCATGGCCTCGATTATATTAAAGGGCTAGGCCGTACCACCTCGCAAAGTAAGGGGGCATAGCTTCGGCTTCGGCGGCTGCGCCGCCTCGCCTCGCCCTGTTACTACGGCAACTCTGCCCAAACTGAAGATGGTTGGCTTTTTCCAAAAACAAAGTGGAGTTGATATTACTAACGCCATCTGTGGGTTAGTCCCGGGACTTATTGAACGATGTATTAGTTGTAGGAGAGAGCAGACCAGACCACCCGATAAATTGGGTACGGTTGCCACTTTTACACCAAAATGTTCGAAAATATGCCTTAGGGCTGAACGTTTTGAGAGGGAAGGTGTCAAAACCCCCCAGTTCACGAAGGTCTCATGTTAGTTGTAGGGAAATGAAGATTGCGCTTCTTTTTCCTGATGGGCATCCCATACTCCCCAGGCCCCTAAACAGAGGTTAGTACCCTTGACACTTACACAAAAGCCAAAGGCCATAGAGCTAATCGTTTTGAGAGGTATAATAATACCATAGATTAGAAAAACAATTAATCTATGGTATTACCGAAAGGTTTGGGATGTATGGATGGAGTACTCCCCGTACACGAAAGTCTTGTATTAGTTGATTTTCTTTTTCTTGGGGGTACTCCCATAAATAAAGGTTGGAATTGGCTGGACATACATTTTTCCACATTGGAGTGCCTACCAGCCTGCTCTGGAATGGCTTTAGGATCTTTTAGGGAATGGCTGGACCATGAGAGAGAATATCCTAGTTTTCCTCTTCTTTTTTTTTGGCGCTGGAAATGGTTGGGCACTAGTGACCACTAAACCTCCACAACGCAGCCCGATCGTGACGGGAAGGTCACCCAGTTTTTCCAAATTTGTTTTCGTACTTTCCGCGTGTCTATAACTCGGTCAGAAGAAGTGACCGCTTTATGGAGATCCAATCGCCACGATGATTTATACTTTTAAGGGATGTCCTGTTTACTTGATCGATAGTATTCAAACGAAGTCCAGAATAAAAGAAGGAAAAGGGAAAAAAAGTATAAAGAGACATTTAATTCACAGACTGAATACGTTTAGCATAAATACGGAAAGCATTACGAGCACTTAGATTTTACAATTACATTGGATTTTAATGAACGTGTAACTACGAGCTTCAATGGTATAGATTTCAAGGTCGCCGCCGTCGCCATTTTAGTTTTGGAGAGTGCTACGCGCGCGCAAATTAAAATTGGAACTATGCAAATTTGGCGGGATTTTTAACGCGGTATGGAAGGCTGCGCGTCGATGATGTATGCAAAAATAATATGCAAGGATGTGGGAAATAGCGGCGGTGCGCCCTTGAAATTTAAATAAACGATGTGCGTACACCAGACAAATCGACTTTTTTTCTTGACCACGGGCAATGCTGAATGTATTAACTCTTCTTTTTGTAACAGAAGTTATTCAATATCCCTTTTATTATAGCTACTTAGATCTTCAAGACCATTCCATATTTAGACTCGTCGCGTTTAGGGTCACGCCAAGGCCCTTGATTACCATTTTAGAAAGAGCCCAAACATTTCGAGATTGAGAGTACCAAAAATATTGAGGTAAAGATATCCGAAATCTTCGTACCAATTACCCCAAAAAAAAATACCCTTCAGCTCGATAATTTTATGATAGGTGTAGGGAAATGCACTCCTCCTGGGAGGTGTTGCCTGGGGGGTATTCCATACCCCCCGGTTCCTCGTAGTTATCCCTCAAAACGTTCAGCCCCAAGGTCTCTCGGGTTATTTGCTAATAAAAGGCCATCGAATTTCACTTTCTTCAGGAATATTCCCTACCACACAGGATTCTGGAGTTCCGTTCGGTGGTTCCCCTCCAACAATTGTAGGTTCGAAAAGCTCAAAGTGTTTTTTTGGAAGAATGTAGAACTGGGGGTCTGGAATACCTCCCAGTACCAGAAGAATTTTCGAAAGGTGTAGGGAAATGCATTAAATCCCTTTTCTTTCTGGGTGTGGTGCCTGGGGGGTATTCCAAACTCCCCCAGACCCCCCGGTACCACGTAGTTATCCCTCAAAACGTTCAGCTCTAAGGCCCCCCGGGTTATTTTCTAATAAAAGGCCATCGAATTTCTCTTCCTTCAGGAAGATTCCCTACCCCACAGGATTCTGGAGTTTCTTTTGGGGGTTCCTTTCCAAGAATCATCTGGAATACCCCTCAGCGCCAGAAGAATTTACGAGACGAGTAGGGAAGTGCATTAAATCTCTTTTTTCCTGGGAGGTGTTGGCTGAGGGGTATTCCATACCCCCAGACCCCCGGTGCCACGTAGTTATCCCTCAAAACGTTCAGCTCTAAGGCCTCCCGGGTTATTTTCTAATAAAAGGCCATCGAATTTCTCTTCCTTCCGGAATATTCCCTACCCCGCAGGATTCTGGAGTTCCTTTTGGGGGTTCCTTTCCAAGAATCATCTAGAATACCCCCCAGCGCCAGAAGAATTTACGAGACGAGTAAGGAAGTGCATTAAATCTCTTTTTTCCAGGGTGGTGTTGCCTGGGGGTTATTGCATACCTCCCAGACCCCCGGTGCCACGTAGTTATCCCGCAAAACGTTCAGCCCTAAGGCCTCCCGGGTTATTTTCTAATAAAAGGTCATCGAATTTGACTTTCTTCAGGAATATTCCCTACCCCACAGGATTCTGGAGTTCCTTTTGGGGGTTCCTTTCCAAGAATCATCTGGAATACCCCCCAGCGCCAGAAGACTTTACAAGAGGTGTAGGGAAGTGCATTAAATCTCTTTTTTCCTGGGAGGTGTTGGCTGGGGGGGTATTCCATACCCCCCAGACCCCCCGGTACCATGTAGTTATCCCTCAAAACTTCCAGCCCTAAGGCCTCTCGGGTTATTTTCTAATAAAAGGCCATCGAATTTCTCTGCCTTCAGGAATATTCTCTACCCAGCAGGATTCTGGAGTTCCTTTTGTTGGTTCCTTTCCAAAAATTATCTGGAATACCCCCCAGTGCCAGAAGAATTTACGATAGGTGTAAGGAAGTGCATTAAATATCTTTTTTCCTGCGGGCTGTTGCCTGGGGGGTATTCCATACCCCCTAGCTCTCAGAGAGAGAAATTTAAAGGAATTTATGCATAAATTAATCGTTAAATTAGTCGTTGTGTTTTATTAGGAATTTTACGAATGTTTCTCCAGATTTGCAACCATTATCATACATTTTTATCTACCTACACTACACGCTATTTACTTAGCATCACATCACATCTTAAATTAACATCCTAATTAATTAAGCGTAAACACAGATAATCACATTACCGCCTTGTGAATAATTAAGCAATTGCGTACCGAATCGTTATCATTCACAAGTTTATCACATTTTTAATATCCTAATATTCTAAAATTAATTTGGCGCCACAACACAGTTACTGCTTACATATTATTTGCACATAATTCAAGTAATTAGCCTAAAATGAGCCTCTAGTTATGCACGAAAAAATCACGTAATCGGTTTGTGCCTAAGCTTAAGCGGTTCGTTCCGGAGCTAGACGAACGACTGGGATTTTGCGCACTTTACTTTCACCTTCCCATCGTCAACGACGATCTTCGCCCGCCGCAGGTGCTGAAAGACGCCCTCGTTGACGCATTCGAACCGATTTCCGTACAGGTTCATCCGCTGCAGGTACCTCAACCCGGCGAACGTCGTCGCGCCGACGCGCTCCAAGCTGTTGTTGTTCAAAAACAGCTTCCCCAAGTGCTTCAAGCCGTAAAACGCCCTCCCATTTATGACGCTGATGTTGTTGTGGGCCAAATTCAGTCCCCATAGGTTCGCCAGGCGAAGAAATCCGTAGGAGGAGAGCGACTGTATGCGGTTGTGGTCGAGGTGGAGGTACCAAAGCGAGTCCAGCGAGGCGAAGGCGCCTGGAGGGAGCTTGCGTATTTTGTTGTGGGAGAGATGGAGACTTTTCAGTTTGGTGTTTTGGCCGAAGAGTATGGGGTCGAAGTCGGCGATTTCGTTGTGGCTCAAGTTGAGGTACTGCAGGTGTATCGCGCGCGAAAATAGGCTTCGGTCGAGGTGCTCCAGGCGATTGTGGCTCAGATCCAGGTGGGTTAAATTGTGCAAGTCGTCCAACGTGCCGAATTCCACAGTGGAAATGTTATTGTGGCTCAGATTGATGACTTGAAGCCTTCGCGAGTTTTCAAAGTCAGCCTGTTGCAGAGCTGAGAGCTGGTTGTTGTTCAAATATAACGTGGAGGCGTGGACTAAACCGTAGCTTAACCAATTTAGGCTCTCCAGCTGATTGTGGCCTAGAAACAACGTGTCCAGCCTAGGGTTTCTGGCAAAGGTCTCCGGGTGAATCTCCCTGATGTGGTTGTTCTGCAGATCCACGTGTATTAAGCCCGGCAAGTTTGGAAGCATCGCTTCGTGCAAAGACCGTAGTGCGTTATGTCGCAGTGTAAGCTTTCCAAGCTTCGCCATGGACAAAGAGCCTGGTTCAATCATCGAAATTTGGTTGTTGTCCAAATTTAGCTTCTTCAAATTGGGCACCTTGTTAAAGTTGTCAACCGAGAGCTGCCTAATTTGGTTTCCACCGAGTAATAGAAAGCTGAGCTGTGGCAGATCGGCATGGAAAAGACTTGTGACGTTTGCGATTGTGTTCCAGCTCAAATCCAAGAGCTTCACGCTTCTAAGACAATCAAACACTCGACTAGGAAAGTGGTTGGATCTCGACAGTTGGAGCTGCTCCAAGTTCTGCAGACCATGAAGTGCCCGTTTGTCGACGGTTTCAAACTCTCCCCAAATGGTTAGACACTTCAACGAGTAAAGCCTGGAGAAGATATCGTCGGGTACAATGGGCGTCTCGAGCACCAAGTTTAAAATTTCGAGCTTTTGAAGATCTTCAAACGTCCTGGGGTTCAGCGGCACGTTTGCGCCAATCTTTACATTGAGTACGTAATGGCGGTCTAACCCTTCGGGAACCCTTCTAATTAACTGACTCAGGCCGTTTTCGTTACGAGCGTCATAGTAGTCGACTCCCATATGCGACGTTAATCCATACTCGGGAATATCAGTGAAGGAATTGGAGAGCAGCATCAAATAATTAATTATAGTGGCGTTCACCATGGTTGCTCTGGAAGAAAAAAGTGATAAGATATTTTTTCTTCCCTTTCCCACTTTCTCTTCTCTATGGTTTTTATTTGACTAAATGCGCACTCCTCCTCCTGAAAAGTGCCTAAAGGAATTCCACGTCCCTTTCGCACCTTTCCAATTCTTACCAAGCGCTACCTTTGCCCTTTCGCTCGGAACATTTGATAGGACGCACAGCCGGATGCTCAGAAAAGCGATTGTGAAAAGTGTAGGTATAATAGGCCCTTCGAACCCTCCTGCATTCGAAGTAACTGACGAACTCAAAAAGTAAAGGAATATGAAGAATGCGAAGAATGTGAAGAATGTGAAGAATGTGAAGAATGTGAAGAATGTGAAGAATGTGAAGAATGTGAAGAATGTGAAGAATGTGAAGAATGTGAAGAATGTGAAGAAAGTGAAGAATGTGAAGAATGTGAAGAATGGGAAGAATGCGAAGAATGCGAAGAATGCGAAGAATGCGAAGAATGTGAAGAATGCGAAGAATGTGAAGAATATAAAGAGATTCAGACGATGCAAAGATTCTAATAAACGGAGTATCTGTTGGCAACCTCTCTTTCACATTACCAGGAGAACAGGATAGACGAGGAGATCCTTTACCATCACAACATTTTAAAATTTCACTAACCTTGTATCAGCAGAATATAGTGTCCGAGGAGGTACACCTGCTCCTGATACACGGAGAATTTATTGGAAAACTCTTGTAAATATTTTCTACCAGGGCAACATGATAGATTCTCCACCATCATCAACGCATTAAATTGCCTTGATTTTGTACCAGGAGAATATAATATGCGAGGAGGTGTTTCCGCTCGTTATACGAAAGATTCGATGGACGCGTAAGATGAAAAGGAGGAGAAAGATGGGGACGATGGGAAGGGTATGAAGGATGTGAATGGCTGCGACAGGTATTACGGGCGGGAAGGATGCGGTTAATGCGAGGGTTGCGAGTGATGTAAATGATGTAAAGGAAGTAAAGTATGTATAGTGTTAAAGAATGTATGGAATGTAAGGAATGCAGAGAATGTAAAGGATGAGGAATGTAAAGATTAAAGAACGTAGTAAATAGTCAGGAAAATGATACTGGCGAGGAAATATTGAAGTACGAGGCCCCTGTGGGGTACTCTAATTGTCGAGTCAGGTAATGTCATTTTACTGATGAGTTTTGTATTAAATTTTACCCGAAATCGTATTTTAATAGTAAATTTCAATTTTCATATAGAACTTTTGATTAAAGTCAATCTGTCAGTGATGACAGGAGTCATTATAGACATTAGAAATGTCAAAAATGCGGCCGCTAAAGTGACAGGTGCGGCCAGTAAAGTGAAAAGCGGCAGAAAACGTAGTCTGCTCTGCCTCTGTGATGGAAACTCAAATTTCCTGACAGAAAGTAGGCATGAAAATGAAGGTTTCATGACCATTTTGGGTAAAAAAATGTAAAATACATAAAGTGGGAAAAAATGTAAAAGAGGTAACGGGAGCAAAGGATGTAAATGATGTAATGGATGCTAGGGCGGCGAAGAAGACGAAGGGTCCATATGATGCGAATGATGTAAATAATGTCAACAATGTGAATAATGTGAATAATTCATACTGCGAATAATTCGAATAATTTGAATATGCGAATAATCAGAATATTGCAAATAAAGCGAAGAATTCGAAGAATGCGAATAACCAAAATATTGCCAATAATGAGAATAATCCCAAATTTGCAAATAATGCGAAGAATGCAAATAATTCAAATAATGCGAATAATTCGAATAATGCGAATAATTCGAATAATTCGAATAATTCGAATATTCCGAATATTGCATATTGCGAATAATGTAAATGATATGAATAATTCGAATAATGCGAATAATGAGAATAATTCGAATAATCCGTATATTGCGAATAATTCGAATAATGCGAATAACCAGAATATTGCCAATATTGCCAATATTGCAAATAATGCGAAGAATGCAAATAATTTAAATAATTCGAATAACGCGAATACTTTGAATAATATGAATGATTCGTAGTATGGGAAGTGTGGGAGTGCTAGGTCGGGGCTGAATGGCGCGGAGGGTGTGAAAGTGAAAGGAGCAAAGGGTGGTAAGAATGAGAAGCATTGGAAGGATGAGAAAGATGAGTAGGATTGAAGGATGTGAAGAATAGGAAGCATTTGAAGAATGTGAGGAACGTGAAGAGATGTCAACGATGTAAGAGATGCAAACGAAAGGTCCTAATACACTGAGCAAAATGTTTCCCACTAGTAGAAGAACATGGTAGTTGCAGCGATCCTTTTCCATCATTTAGAGAAGTATGTCAACAACGATTGAAATTTTACTAATCTCGTATCAAGGGCGTATAGTGTGTGAGGAGGTCCTGATACACGGTGTATTAGTTGGCAAACCTTTCTAAAAATTCTACCAGGAGAACATGATAGACGAGGCAACTTTTCTCCATCATCAAGAGAAACGCATTAAATTGCCTTAGATATTTTGCCAATTTTGTACCAGGAGGATATAGTACGAGATGATATGAAATATGAGATGGATAGGGAATGCAATCCCGCAGCAAAATCTCAATCCCGGTATTTGCGGGATTGTTAGATGTTAATCCCGCAGGATCCCGGTATTTGCGGGATCCCGCAAATCTTTAAATAAATTGGCAACTAAGCAAATCTCTGCGGTTAACTTCTGCATTAAAATAAGTCGCTAATTATCACAATATTTAACAAAAAAGTACCTTCGGCCTAACTTAGAACTCAAAAAAACCTCACCTGTAAAGCACAAAAAGGTGAACTAAAGTGCCTCAAAAATCATAGTACATTTTTAACGAAAAAAGTTTAACAATAAATTATTTAAAAAATAATTCGCCGTTATCAGTTTCACTAACAAAGTAAACAGAGTCGTCCCCTTGGTCGACAAATCCCTCAGTCCCGCTCCATTTATGTGCGGGATTAATCTCGCAAAAATGCTGCGGGATCCCGAAATCCCGGTATTGCAGTTTTGGTAAAAAAGGAAGGTTGTACACTGCCATTTTTTGAGGCCCTCAAAAAAAAATTGTCTCAGATCGACCCGGAAAAAAATTTTTCTTATAGAATGTGGCCTGTAGAATCCATAATTTCAAACAGTTCCAAGATTGGGCTACTAGTTCAAAAGTTACAGCCCTTTGAATTTTCTTTCGAAATTGGTTTCTAGTCTATAACTTTTGATTGAGAAGTCTGATCGAAAAAGTACGAATTGTTTTGGATTCTACGCACCAAAATTACTAAGAAAAAGTGTTTTCCCGAGAAATTTTGGTGCAGTCTATTTTTGGTTAAAAAGGAAGGTTGTACACTGCCTTTTGTTGAGCCCCTCGAAAAAAATTGTCTCAGATCGACCCGGAAAAACAATTTTCTTATAGAATGTGGCCTGTAGAATCCATAATTTCAAACAGTTCCAAGATTGGGCTACTAGTTCAAAGGTTACAGCCCTTTGAATTTTTTTTCGAAATTGGTTTCTAGTCTATAACTTTTGATTGAGAAGTCTGATCGAAAAAGTACGAATTGTTTTGGATTCTACGCACCAAAATTAATAAGAAAAGTGTTTTCCCGAGAAATTTTGGTGCAGTCGATTTTTGGTAAAAAAGGAAGGTTATACACTGCCTTTTTTTGAGGCCCTCAGAAAAAAAAATTGTCTCAGATCGACCCGGAAAAAAATTTTTCTTATAGAATGTGGCCTGTAGAATCCATAATTTCAAACAGTTCCAAGATTGGGCTACTAGTTCAAAAGTTACAGCCCTTTTAATTTTCTTTCGAAATTGGTTTCTAGTCTATAACTTTTGATTGAGAAGTCTGATCGAAAAAGTACGAATTGTTTTGGATTCTACGCTCCAAAATTAATAAGAAAAAGTGTTTTCCCGAGAAATTTTGGTGCAGTCTATTTTTGGTTAAAAAGGAAGGTTGTACACTGCCTTTTGTTGAGCCCCTCGAAAAAAATTGTCTCAGATCGACCCGGCAAAACAATTTTCTTATAGAATGTGGCCTGTAGAATCCATAATTTCAAACAGTTCCAAGATTGGGCTACTAGTTCAAAAGTTACAGCCCTTTGAATTTTTTTTCGAAATTGGTTTCTAGTCTATAACTTTTGATTGAGAAGTCTGATCGAAAAAGTACGAATTGTTTTGGATTCTACGCACCAAAATTAATAAGAAAAAGTGTTTTCCCGAGAAATTTTGGAGCAGTCGATTTTTTGTAAAAAAAAGAAGGTTGTACACTGCCTTTTTTTGGGGCCCTCAGAAAAAATTGTCTCAAATCGACCCGGAAAGAAATTTTTCTTATAGAATGTGGCCTGTAGAATCCATAATTTCAAACAGTTCCAAGATTGGGCTACTAGTTCAAAAGTTACAGCCCTTTGAATTTTCTTTCGAAATTGGTTTCTAGTAGGGAATGCAGTCCCGCAGCAAAATCTCAATCCCGGTATTTGCGGGATTGTTAGATGTTAGTCCCGCGGGATCCCGGAATTTGCGGGATCTCGCAAAACTTTAAATAAATTGGCAAATAAGCAATTCTGTGCGGTTAACTTCTGTATTAAAATAAATCGCTAATTATCACATATATTTAACAAAAAAGTACCTTCCGCCTAACTTAGAACTCAAAAAAACCTTACCTGTAAAGCACAAAAAGTCTTCTAAAGTGCCTCAAAAATCATAGTACATTTTTAACGAAAAAAGTTTAAAAATTATTTAAAAAATAATTCGCCGTTATCAGTTTCATTAACAAAGTAAACAGAGTCGTCCCGTTGGTCGACAAATTCCTCAGTCCCGCAAATCCCGNGAATGTAAAGAAGGTATAGAATGTAAAGAATGTAAAGAAGAATGTAAAGAATGTAAATAATGTAAAGAATGTAAAGAAGGTATAGAATGTAAAGAATGCAAAGAATGGAAAGAATGTAAAGAATGTAAAGAATGTAATGAATGTAAAGAAGGTATAGAATGTAAAGGATGTAAAGAATGTAAAGAATGTAAAGACTGTAAAGAATGCAAAGAATGTAAAGAATGTAAACAATGTAAACAATGTAAAGAATGTAAAGAATGCAAAGAATGTAAAGAATGTAAAGAAGGTATAGAATGTAAAGAATGTAAAGAATGTAAAGAATGTAAAGAATGTAAAGATTGTAAAGAATGTAAAGAATGTAAAGAATGTAAAGAATGTAAAGAATGTAAAGAATGTAAAGAATGTAAAGAATGTAAAGAATGTAAAGAATGTAAAGAATGTGAAAGATGCTAAATGGTTAAGTAGGAAGGGAGTTAGATGCAAGTAAGAAGAGTGTAAGCAATGTGAGAGTTAGAAAGTGTAATAAGAGAGTAAGAAGGGTGTAAGAACAGAGTAAGAAGAAAATAAGAAGAGAGCAAGAACAGAGTAAGAGGAGAGTAAAAAGAGAGTAAGAAGAGAGTAAGAAGGGGGTAAGATAAGAAGGCAGGAAGTAGAGGTAAGAAGAGATTAAGAAGAGAGTAAGAAGAATGGTAAGAACGAGGAGAATTGGAAGGATGAGGGATATGTGGTAGGTGAGGAAATATGGGACACTATGTGAATAGTGTCAAAAATGGTAAGCAGAATAGGTGTGTGGCGTTTGTGAAGGACGCGAAGAGTGCAAAAGATGGGACAGAAGTGAAGCATCGGAATGGTCTGAAGTATCTAAAAGACCTAAAGGGCATACAAGAGCTGAAGAATGTGTAAAACCGGTAGGAGGAAAGTTTGGAAACCTATCTGGCTCAAGTACCAAAAGTGCGTCTGAGCAGATATGAGTAGATTTTACGTCATTTTGGTATCAAAAATTGTCGGGTTTGGAATTTTGGTGTGTACCTACGGTTCATTGAGAAAAAGGTCTGAATTCGGAATGTTTGCGTAGAAGTCGCAGTATTTACAAGTGACGCACGTTTGGCACTTTCCTAGTGTTGAATCATTGATGAAATGGAGATCGTTATTTTTATCCCTTATAAATGATAAAGATGGAACTTACGTGAGCAACTGAAAACGTGAATGAATTATGGAATTATTCCGAATGGAATAATAATAATAAAGCAGGAGCGGTACTTACAAAATATTCAAAACGAAAACCGAACCACTCGTTAATTGAACGCAATTACGAACTTGACCCGGGGTCAAATATCGATAAACTCTACGCTAATCGTCCCGGGACACCTTCAAGGGCCAACCTTTTTTCATTCACGCGCCGCCGGTTTACGTAATAATTGTCCCTCGATTTTGATGAATGACATTGGCCCACTGCCGAAAAAATCCGCGGAATAATTTATCAGCAATAATTTAGTCTGACCGTGAAAATCGCGTGTCTGCCTTTAAATTGACCGCTGCCGAATATTTCGGACGCGGCGCGATAATTAGGCGACGCGCAAATTGAAAATGTGAAAGTGTAACGGGCGCAATCTGAATAAGAGATTTTGGACTTGTGACCATCTGACCCGATGCTAATTCGATCGAATTTCGGATGAAAATTATATGTAAGTGTGCGTCCGCGAATTATAATTCCGGATATGTGAAGATCTTAAAAGAGGACAAATTCGGATGAATGAACCCCCCCATTTAGGCGCGACGTAATATAGCGCGGAAGGAAGTAGAGACCCGCGAAATTAAGTCAGCAAATTATCCCTTTTTTTTCGCAGCACGCCCATAGTAGGTACGCGTACCAGCGCCCTTGACCATTTTTTTGATCGTACACGTGCCGTTTTCGATTTGAGGGTTATTCATCTGTGGACGAAATTCAGGTACACGGAAAAAAAACGGGGGCGAGAGAAACAAAAAGCGTAAGAAAATGAAAGTGAGATTCGGTCAATAGAAATGAATTTATGCAGCAATTATAATCGATAATTGAATTCGATTTGCATCGGTGATACAGAAATTGGAAAAACAAAGTTGAAAGTGTGCTTTATAAAATCGAAACCATCACATGCGTTAATCTGGAGATTTGGATTAGCATTCATTATCGAATGGAGTTCGTGTTGTACTTAACCTTCTTTTGGTTAGACCATTGATCGGTATTTAGATTGGCCCAATACACTTCTCTGGCGCCAAATGAATGAATTAATTCGTCAGCCGCGTTTAATTGAACTGGGTTAATTGATAATTAGCGTATGAATGAAAAAATTCGAATCAACTTTTTAAACAAGTTTTAGACTCTTCTAATAGCTAAAGGGGGCTAAAGGAACAAATTTTCTCTTTGGAGACCGATCAAAACAATAGACCATCAGAGGGAGCGCCCCAGGATACCCTTCAACCTATGATACAAGTCACCAGTCGTATGACCCCACGGATCTCCCCGGATCTGAAAGCTTTGCCGGTAATGTAGAAACATCCATAGTGTAACACGCGCCAATGTCAATCCTTGGCCTTGGCGGAAACCCCGCCCACTCAAAAATAAAGGCAAAAATAAACAAACAGATAAATTAAATAAATAAATCCTAAGATTACGGGTCCAAGTAAAGATGCAATATCATCCACGTACTGCGTATGTCGTAAGTAATATCCAGATAGGATAGGAACAACGTAAAAGGTAGGTAACCCAAAAAAAACTTAATGAGACAACTAAGAGAAAACGTTGAGGGAAGGCAAACTGCGTAATAATTAAACAAGCTGTTTATATGCAAATACAAATCCGTAAAACGCTTCATTGGAGCCCCAGTCACAGACTACAAGAGACAGAGAAACCACTCCATCGATATAAGGTAACAGGCAAAACAATAAATGCCTTACAGGTAAGATACGCAGTCGGTAAAAGTAATGGTGTACCGAAGAAAAATAATTTCACTGAAGGGAAAAGAAATACAGCTGGGCGCAATACTGAACTTAAAAAAGGATATAATTAGGTGCAAAAAGGTACAAAGCGTGAACTCTAGCGAAAAGACAAAGAACTATGTTAAAAATACTAACACTAGGATGGTCTCTGTCGGCAAGACAATGAAATGTTGTAATAAGAAACCTATAACGCCATTTACTACACGAATAATTTACATCTTATTAAACGAGTTTACAAAAGAGATATTTGTAGGCCTATATATGTAGGCAAGAATTTAAATAGAGCACATATCGAAGGTTACTTAAATGGAAATTGGTAAGAAAATAACGTTATGGGTTGATAGTTTTCGGCATTGAGGAAAGGACTGGTCTAACCTAATCGCCAAAGGAGGAAGGCTCAGTTATGGGAGACTTTGCCTCTTCCTACCTTCACCATATGCAGGATACGCAGCAAGATTTTGAGAAACTGCTAAACACAAGCTCTACGCAGAAATAGAGGACTGTTTCATTGTTGTCCCTTTGGCTTTGGAAACCACCGGAGTTTACGGCAAAGAAGGACTGGATTTGATCACCGCAATTGGAGCAAGAATAACCAAAAGTCACGTGGGAACGACGAGCTATTCCAAAGGATCAGCCTTGCACTTCAACGTGGAGACTGCGCCTCGATCCTGGGAACTTTGCCGCCTGGAAAGGAGTAGCGTCATGTACCCAAATCTTAAATTAATTAAAAAAATTTTAATTTTCAGTCAATGAATCGATTGTTATGAATAATGACCCACCTTGTATGAGAAAAATTACATATCGGTAAAACAGAGCCCTACCAGTCCAGCTCTTGAACCTTAACCTCAATTTCGGTAGCCATTGCATATTAAACGCACGTTTATGTAATTTTAATGTTGAAATAATTGTAGCTCGATCACAGAAATGGCGCAAAGTAAATTAAACGACTTGGCAAGCAAGTTTGGCAAGGGGGGCCCGCCGGGCTTAGGCTTGGGCCTCAAATTGTTAGGTGTTGGTGCCGCCGCCGCTTACGGTGTTGCACAATCCATGTACACAGGTAACTTAGGGGACGTTTTTTTTAACAGAACTCTAAGCCTGCGACTATTTTCAGTGGAGGGAGGCCATCGTGCGATAATCTTCAGCCGAATCGGCGGCGTGCAGAAGGAGATTTACGCCGAGGGTCTCCACTTTCGTATCCCATGGTTTCAGTATCCGATAATCTACGACATAAGGTAACCCCCCCGTCTTTCGGCGACCGCTTCATCTTGAGTATTTGTCGTAGATCTCGTCCGCGCAAAATCTCCTCCCCCACCGGCTCCAAAGATCTGCAAATGGTCAACATCTCTCTGCGAGTGCTGTCCCGACCCGAAGCCAGCGCGATTCCGGTCATGTACAGGCAATTGGGGCTCGATTACGACGAGAAGGTGTTACCGTCGATCTGTAACGAGGTCTTAAAGTCGGTCGTCGCCAAATTCAACGCCGCTCAGTTGATAACGCAGCGACAGCAGGTCTCGCTGCTGGTCAGAAGAGAGTTGGTGGAGCGCGCGAAGGACTTCAACATCATCTTGGACGACGTCTCGATTACGGAGCTCTCGTTCGGGAAGGAGTACACGGCCGCCGTCGAGGCCAAGCAGGTCGCACAGCAGGAGGCGCAACGGGCCGCCTTCGTAGTCGAACGTGCCAAACAGGAGCGACAGCAGAAGATCGTTCAGGCGGAGGGTGAAGCGGAAGCTGCAAAAATGATATCCTTTTTTACGACTTTATTTAGGCTAAAATTTCCAATGTTGTTTGTATTTCCTTAACCGAACTCACTTGGGAGAGGCGATCGGCCTGAACCCCGGCTACCTTAAGTTGCGCAAAATTCGAGCCGCCCAAAATATCGCGCGAACGGTAAGTTTCCCCCGTGCGCCTTTGCGTTTTTAATACGTTTGCGCCGTAGATCGCCAACTCGCAGAACCGCGTCTACCTCAACGGTAACAGCCTTATGTTGAACATCCAAGATCCGGAGTTCGACGACCAATCCAATAAATTAAAAAGTAAGAAGTGATAGCATTAGATAGGTTTTATCGATAGTAAGAGTTTGCATTTCTGTTTACAAGATGTTATTATAATGTGTAAATTCGAATAAAGCATTTATTAAGAAAGAGAGCAGTTGTTTTGGTCACTAATCAACTCTTCCTTTGCAGGTGGGGAGGCGCCTCAATCGCGTAGTGATCCAAGATCGCGTTCCCTTTTAGATGTACTCGACAATATTACAAAAAAAGTTTGAATTTTGTTTTTTTATAATCGTCAGATGAAAGCATATTTTTGTATTAATTTTACATTATTCGTACTTATATATTATTGAAAAAATATTCAATGCTTCTATGAAAGTTATATCTCATGTTTGGACAATGGAAGTGTGTTGAAGGTTGTACAGTTTTAAATAACAGTTGAAAATCTTTTATTTATGCTCCTTTTATTTGCAATGTTTATGGGAATAATGTAAAGTTATACAATATTTTCAAGGGAAAGACTGTTTATTTCTTACATAAAAGTACATTAAATAACATTGTTAATTAGCTGGACCTCCTCCAAACCAGAAGGTATATGAAGGCCCTGGATACGGTAACCTTTGGCTTAAGTTGTATTTTGAGATGAATACCGCTATCTACCTTTATAAAAAAATTGAAGTAAGTACAATAAATTATAAATATCCCCCAGCGCCAGCCAACATAGCGTTTGGGAGATTGCTGTTGTAGTGTACTTAACTCTCAGGTTCTACGCTAACTTTACACTATAAGAACACGGAAATAAAGTCAACTCCGCAACGTTTAAAAATCGCCACCCGAATGACTATTCCCTCCAAAACTAAACAAGATCCCGCTTAAATTTGAAAAGTGGCACGTGATCAAACAAACATATAAGGCAGAGCCCCCTTACGTTAGTTGTAAACAACGCTATTGAAGCACTGTAGGGAAGGAACATAAAATAAAACACTGAAATTGGGAAAAGTTTGTTTAATAATGATTGTGAACATTGATGTAGGTACATTAATATAAGCAAAGCCAAAAGGTGTACTCTCGCAAAAGTAACTGCTAAGGGTAAAAAGAGTACGACGTAGAAAAACCTCGCAGTTTGATTAATACAGTCCAAAAGTTAGCTAACAAAATAGTTAGGTACATTCCAAAAATATTCAGCAATGAATATAATGAGACCACAATATATTAATATATTCCTTGTTTTGCGGGGTTTCTGTCACAAAATTCCCTGGATGTAGAGGGGGAATATTCGTGTCAATTTCAAACCTTAATTACAATACTCAAAATGTCCGTTTTAGGTAAGTAGTTCATTAGACACTTATTTTGAAAGGAACTGTAGTCGTTTCTTCCCAATATTCTTAGAACATGTTCCCTTGACCCTCTACCTAATTATATGCAATTTGGGAGTATGAATATTCACAGACCTTCCATAAGGTTATTAGAATAAGTATAAGTATGTAATATATACAATACAATCCACAAGACCATCAGTAGATGGTTGAAAACAAAAATAGCAATAGTCATTTCACTCCCCCCCCCCCCCCACGGCCCCCACAAAACAAAGTACATTTTAAGTGAGCCTAACCATTCTATTCTATTCGCAGGGGAGCCCGACCGGGCAGCACTTAGGCACACCAGAGGCCCATTGTGCGTACCCCCTTTCTTCGCAACTGAGTTCAGAGCCCGTTCCTCTCAATGAAGGAGAGGACCCTGTTTAGCCTAAGTTGCTTCACCCTCCTCGGTTCCAGATATCTGTCTCCAAGGAGTTGATATCTGTCCCTGATCAAAGCGTCACAGTGACAGACCACATGCTCGGTAGTTTCATCTGCCTCGCCACAGAACCTGCACGTGGACTCCTCCGCGAGCCCAATGTTATGTAGGTGATAGTTGATCTTACTAATCTGGCATCTATTCAGTTTTAGAAGCTTAGAAGACCCCGATTTGCCAACGGGCCCTGTTAGAAAGGCCTTGGACTGTCGGAGTCCGGTTACCTGGTGCCACTGAGCCTGGAATTGACTGGTCAACCAATCTTTAATCCTGGCCCTAACAACGGAGGGAGCAATCCCTAGGGTAGGCTCGGGCCCGACGAAGACCCCACCACTGCCTTCGGGAGCCAACTCGTTCGCCCTTTCGTTGCCCCCTATTCCGCAGTGCGCTGGCACCCAAATCAAGCTTACCCTATTAGACTCACCTAATCTATCTAGGGTTCGCCTACAGTCAAGCGCCGTAGCTGATCGGAACCTGTCTACCGACAGGGCCCTCAACGCCGCCTGACTATATCACTGCATATGTATAAATGCTTATTGCGGTAACCTCTACGGAGGTTTTCCTGTGCACAGGTCATGATGGCTAACATCTCTGCCTGAAACACGGTGCTATGCTGACCAAGGGAGACGCTGACGCTGGCTCTCGGTCGATCACCATATATACCCATGCCCGTTCCCCTTTCTGTTTGGGACCCGTCTGTAAACCACACGAGCCCCTCAGGTTTGAGGAACGGGCAATCCGAGTTCAGCCACTGCTCCCTATCCGGGAGAATGACTTTATAACGCTTTGGTCTTAGCAAGATAGCCCGGATCAAGTCCCTCCTTGCGAGGAGGGGTTCGGTCCTGAGGGTTTCCTCCCAGATCCGCCCGTGCCCAAGGCTGCCTCGATCCTTCCATTCGTCCCAATCGTTTAGCCGTATGGAAGCTTTCCGAGCCTCTGCCTCCACAGCTAAGTGTAAAGGCTCTAGTCCCAGAAGTGCCTCCATGGCCAAGGTTGGCGTGGTTTTTAGGGCTCCAGTGACTCCCAGACAGGCGAGTCGCTGGACCTTTCCTAGCTGCTTCCTGTAGGTTACCCTGCGCATGGCAGGCCACCATACAAGTGCACCATACAGTATTATTGGCCTTATCACTGCAGTGTAAAGCCAGTATACCAGTCGAGGGTTCAAGCCCCATGTACAACCAAAAGCCCTTCTACATGCCCATAGACATGCAGTGGCCTTTTTGCTTACGCGCTCAATGTGCCCTTTCCAGGTCAGGCGAGAGTCAATGATGACTCCCAGGTATTTCACTGACCTGGTCAGACCCAGTTGACGTCCTCGAAGAGCGAGTCCAGCAAGATCCGCTCTCCTTCTATTCGTGAATGAAACAACCTCGGTCTTTTCCGGGTTAACGGAAAGGCCATGGCTACTGCACCACCTATCCACCTGTTCGAGAGCCCCCTGCATGAGCTCTTTCACGGTGTTTGGAAACTTCCCAGTTATGACGATCGCGAGATCGTCCGCGTATCCCTGTGTATACGCTCCCCCCTCGTTCAAGGTGCGGAGGAGCCCGTCTAGTACCAGGCACCACAGCAGTGGAGACAACACCCCACCCTGCGGACATCCTCTAGTAACCGATGAGCTCATCTCCGTCATCCCAATTGAGGATATAATGACTCTGCTTTCGAGCATGGCTCGGATCCATCTTACGATCGACCCATCAATACCAAAGCTCTCAGCAGCCTCACTAATCGAATCGAACGTGGTGTTGTTAAACGCACCCTCGATATCTAAAAACGCTCCCAGAGCTATCCCCCCGGAAGACATTCCCTTTTCCAGCCTGCACACCAGGCTGTGTAGAGCCGTCTCAGTGGACATACCAGCCCTGTAAGCATGTTGGAACGGATGTAGCGGTCTACTAACCAGTACGCCATTCCTTATGTATGCATCCACCAGCTTCTCCACCGTTTTTAGAAGAAACGATGATAGGCTGATATACCCTAATGCCAGAGAGGCTCTGAAGAGATGCAACAAGTGTAAGAGCAGCGGCTCCAGACCCTTCTGTAGAAGAGCCGGGAATATCCCATCCGACCTGCATTCTTAAATGGGCTGAACGTGTTGACCGCCCATCTCAGAAATCCCTCGGTAACCACCCGGGAAGCTACCTTCCAGTTGATCGGCCTTACACCGACCCGAGTAGCTCCTTTTGGTGGGCCCGAAGTTAAGTAGTCCCCAGAGCCTGGAAAGTGTGTTTCCAGGAGACATGTGAGTGCCTCACCCGCGGTAGACGTATATCTGCCGCATGGAAGCCTCAGTGTCCCCACCTTTTGCCCCGGGTCCTTCAAAAGGATTTTACGAAGTTTTTGAACTTCAGGAAGACCTTCCATGTTACCACAGAAAGTCCTCCAAGATCCTCGTTTCGACCTCCGAATATGGTCCTTATACCTGCGCTGGGAGATCTTAAGATCTTCCCAGTCCGCAGGTAACTTAGTTCGCATGGCCCTATTAAAGAGCCTGCGAACCTCCTTACGAGCCTTTTCAAGGTCTGAGTTCCACCAAGGTGTTCTCTTCTTTCCTCGAAAGGTACGCAGTTTACAGCTGTCCTCATAGGACGCTGTTATGGCGTCGCTTACTAATGCGGCCGCCTCTTCCACCTGCCCTGCTTTCCGACAGAGCAAAGGCAGTCCCAGTCAGTGGATCGGGGATTCCGAAACCTACAGGGCCCGCAGTGCCATGCCAGGTTCAGTTGGAAAAGAATGTGCCTGTGGTCCGAAAGCGACGGTTCATCAGACACTCTCCAATTCGTGATCATGTGAGCTATTGAAAAGGAGCCCAGCGTCAGATCAATGACCTCCTGCCTCCGCGCTGTGACGAAGGTAGGGGCTGCTCCCTGATTTAAAACATTCAAATCAGTTGTTTGCAAGTACCCCAGAAGGTGGTCGCCCCTCGAGTTCGTGTCCGTGCTGCCCCACACAACATGATGTGCGCTTGCATCACAGCCAACCACAAGAGAGGGAGCTCACTACTTCGACAGTACTCTATCAACTCAGTTAGCTCCTTGGTTGGTGGAGCCCTTTCTGAGTCGTACGGGAGATAGGCGGAGCAGACCACCAAGTGCCTGCCCCGTCCTCTGTCATCTTTCAGCTGAAGTCGTAGAGCTACGAGATCCCTGAAACAAAAATCAGCCATTAGATAAGACTCGATTCGTCTATCGACATAAATGCAAGTCCTCGGGTTCAGTTGGCTGTCCCTCTTATAATAAGGAGAGTCCTCCACCTGGCCCAGACCTCTTACTCGTCCCTTGTAAACCCAAGGTTCTTGTAGGAGGCATACGCCTGTCTGCTTTTCAGCAAGTTGACGACCCATTAGACAGGTCGCCCCCTTACTGTGCTGCAAATTGCTCTGTAAGAAGGTTACTTTGTCCATCACTGATGTACTAGGTTCCCTTCTAGCTCTGGCAGAATTATTTCAAAGCTTTCATTCGTTTTAAAAATTTGTCAATTCTGTATCAGGATCATATGAGTGCGAGGAGGTGTATCTTTTCTTAATACTACACCTGTTACTTTTCGACAAAGATATGCAAAAGGTGTCGTGCTACTAGGAGAACATAATATACGAAGAGGTCTTTTTCTAGCTCTGTCAGAATTATTTCAAAGCTTTCATTCGATTTAAAAATTTGCC